TTTGTAGCAATGGAGGAGATACGACCATATATATGGTTGTGTACCAATGGAGGAGATACGACCATATATATGGTTTTGTTGAAATGGAGGAGATACGACTATATATATGGTTTTGTTGAAATGGAGGAGATACGACTATATATATGGTTTTGTTGAAATGGAGGATATACGACCATATATATGGTTTTGTAGCAATGGAGGAGATACGACCATATATATGGTTTTGTAGCAATGGAGGAGATACGACTATATATATGGTTTTGTTGAAATGGAGGAGATACGACCATATATATGGTTTTGCAGCAATGGAGGATATACGACTATATATATGGTTTGTTGAAATGGAGGATATACGACCATATATATGGTTTTGTTGAAATGGAGGAGATACGACTATATATATGGTTTTGTTGAAATGGAGGAGATACGACCATATATATGGTTTTGTTGAAATGGAGGATATACGACCATATATATGGTTTTGTTGAAATGGAGGATATACGACCATATATATGGTTTTGTTGAAATGGAGGAGATACGACCATATATATGGTTTTGTTGAAATGGAGGAGATACGACCATATATATGGTTTTGTTGAAATGGAGGAGATACGACCATATATATGGTTTTGTTGAAATGGAGGAGATACGACCATATATATGGTTTTGTTGAAATGGAGGATATACGACCATATATATGGTTTTGTTGAAATGGAGGATATACGACCATATATATGGTTTTGTTGAAATGGAGGATATACGACCATATATATGGTTTTGTTGAAATGGAGGATATACGACCATATATATTGGTTTTGTTGAAATGGAGGATATACGACCATATATATGGTTTTGTTGAAATGGAGGAGATACGACTATATATATGGTTTTGTTGAAATGGAGGATATACGACCATATATATGGTTTTGTTGAAATGGAGGATATACGGCCATATATATGGTTTTGTTGAAATGGAGGAGATACGACCATATATATGGTTTTGTTGAAATGGAGGAGATACGACCATATATATGGTTTTGTTGAAATGGAGGATATACGACCATATATATGGTTTTGTTGAAATGGAGGAGATACGACCATATATATGGTTTTGTTGAAATGGAGGAGATACGACTATATATATGGTTTTGTTAGCAATGGAGGAGATACGACCATATACATATGACTTTGTAGCAATGGCGAAGGAGGTGCAACCATAAAATATGATTTGTAGCAATGAGAAATGAGATACGACAATATAATTATATGGTTATGTAGCAATGGAGGAGATACGACCATATACATGGTTGTGTAGCAATGGCGAAGGCCATAAAATCATATAATATTATAATGGAGGAGGAGATACGACCATACACATGATTTTGTAGAATGACGAAAAAGAAACAAACATACATACGATTTTAGCAATATGTAATCGTAATCCATGTTTCAATATGTATAGTTTTATATTGACGAAAGGAAATACATCCAAGTTTATATCAATGACGAATAAATAACAATAAGGATGTAGATTCGACCATATGAGTGTTCACTGATAGTCATTTATGAGAATACATTGCTAATAAAAAATAAATCAATTCACTTTGTACTGCTATCGGGTTTTTTGTTTGTTTGTTTGTTTTTATTTTAAATTTGACCATGTTTGAATATGCAGCGTCAAACCAGTGACTTATTCAAACAAGTAATATTTTATAGATACGGATATTCCAAGTCTTAAAGTTGCACCAGTACCTTTACCAGCAATATCAAAAAATATTATATACATTATCTATTGTAAAATATAAGTTTCCTTAGATGCACATTTACTGATAATCAATGCTGACACAAGACAAATTGGAGGAAAGTTTGAGCATGGATATATGGTTGCATTATCTATAACAATATGAATAAATTCATAATATTTTCTAGACTGCGGATGTAGGCAGAAAGCGGATCTGGTTCTTCAGCTATTATCTTTTATTCGATCCGTTAATAACAATATCGGGGATTCTCCAATTCAAAGACAATTTCGCTTCTTTAGACAGATCAGTATCAACAGATGCTTTTATAATAATCACTGTACTTAGACGCTTGTTGAGACACAAATATATTTACACGAGGTTAACGAGGGTGGCCAATTATACGTACCAATTAGTGGACAATGTTAGTACTTACTTTTGTCCAAGAATATAATGAACGCTGCTTATATGCCATGACCAGTATTTATTGACGTGATGTGAACGGAATTGCTCTGTAATAAGTGGTTTGTTACATGGCCTTCTGATTCTCATTAAAGAGTGGTCAGCAATGTTGAATGCATGGTTTCACAGACATAATTAATCTCCATGATGGTTTGTATATGAGTCACAGGTAGCTAAAATATAACTGAACTGACAGACTTGAGTTAAAGAAATATCAGTTGAACGGTTATTCCCCCCCCCCCCCGGTTATTTCCCCCCCCCCTATTTTTTTAGTTTTCTAACTATATGGTATCAGATATATAGCATAGAATAAAATTAATCTTAAATTCGTTGTTCATTTTATATAGACTTTACATAATAAAACGAGTCTAAGAAATGAAAATAACCCTATGATGACATAAACTCAAATCTCTGGGGTCAGTTGAATGTAAGTGTTAACATTATTTTAATCACATATGATATTGAAATGCAAACGCTAATTAATGAGCCATTGTCATATCAAACATGTGTAAAATCTGGAACATAATACTGGATGTCCCAGGTAAATATAGAAGGATCAGTAGATCAATAACCACTTTACTTATACTGATCAAGGGACGTAACCGCTACGAGAAATTTGAGACAAATTGCGTTCAAGGTAACAAGATTTACCGACCTTAATGGAAGATGTCGGCAACCCAAAACTTCAGTAAAACCAGTTATTATTATTATTAGAAATATCATTTGTAAGTGAATATCAGTAATATTTGTACAAAATATGAACACCTGGTAGGGCAGCGACACGCCATGAATCAAAATAAACAAAGTACTAAAAGTACTGATAAAAATTTCTTGGAATTTGGAAATATCATTTATTTAATATTAGAATTGACCTCAAAGGGTTAATTTTGAAGTACAAAATGATGATAATTTAAATCTATGCAACTTCCACGGAGTTTGAGCCAAAAATAAATCATTGTAGAAACTAAACCAGGGGAATTAACTGCTGCGGATATAGTATAGTTGATACTCTGACTTTACCATTTGAAACATATTCTTTCTTTCAAAAATTTAATAACCTTTGCATACTGTTTTATATTCATTATATTCGGATAAACATCGAACTACACTTCTGTACAGACCTGTGGGTACGTGGTAGAAGAAGGAGATTTATTCAGCGACTTTTAAAGCTGCATGCCTCCAGATGGATCAAATTATTTCAATAAAATCAAATTTGAGAAATATGTACTAAGATTTTAGGAAGAGTAAAATGATTCAAGATTCGCGTAAATTTTTACAAGTTATGTTCGATTAATGACTAATTTTTTTATTTACAACTATATATCTACTGTGTTACTAACGGAGTAAGGGCTATTTATGCATATTTTGACCATTTTTTGGGTAATTTACGAGGGTTGTAAGTGCCGTTCATAATGTGTAAATTGCTTCTTTTTGATTATCTCACAATATTACACATTCAAATACATTTTTAAAATTTTCATAAAAATCAGCATGAATCTGGAGGCGTGATGCTTTAAGGATAGATTTTATCAATTCTGAAGTTGAAACCCTCTGGCTGAGGGATTGCCTTATAGGGTAAGGCATCAGCGTTGCAGCCACCGTATATCCCTGCGTGGTTGTAAAAGGCGAGTAAATGGGTTCGGATTACTGGAGTATATGCATCTCATAGCTCGGGCAGGAGAAGTTGTTTTGACCCCTGGTGTTGCTTTCAGTTCGTAACACCCGAGGAAAGCCAAAATTATCGTTCTTGTTTCGGCGCCATATGACCTAAATTGTACTGGTGCACCGTAAAACCAAATAAAAACAAAACAAGAACTCCAAACCATCTCAGCAAATACAGCAAATGCATGTATCAATAACAAGTATTGTTTTATTACACAGTGAATATTGCATTACAGCGCTCTTTTCATGGTTTGTATCTCCTTTCATGGTGTGTATCGTTATATAAATTATGCAAAATTGTACTTTCTCCAGATTTTTCAATTTCATTTTCACGATCGATTTAGATGGAGTTAAAATAATATTTAATCATTGGTATAATTAGTGTAAACATGTGTTGAGCTTTGCGAAAATGGAATTTATTTGGTTGTGTACTCGGTTGGGATATTAATGATGAAAAAGAAAAAAGAAAACTCCCTTAACAAAATATTCATTTGCTATTTATTCTTATGTAGGTTTAACAAAATTTTGCTCAAGTACCAAACAACGATTTAACAGAAATTTACAAAGGTTATTTTTTTTAGATATTCATATTTTAAATATTTATTGAAACACAACTAAATATATCGAAACACAAAGCGATACATTATATCAGGGGAGCTAATAGGAGCAGACGAATGGCATAGATAGGAAAGAATTGTCGAACTTGACTGACATTTTTCCAAGCAATAAAATTTCCTTCTTTGAATCTTTTATTATATATATTCATCAAGTTAAAGATAAACGTACATGTAAACTCACTCAATTTTACAAAATACATTCTATAAATAAAATATATCTAAAATCTAATAAACGTCACAAAATTGTTGTACAATACAAACATAACAAAACTTTTAACATATAGAAAAAAACTCACGTCTATTAACATCTACTTTATAAAAATATGTACATCATAAATTCCTTTATTGCTCTGTGAAACATAACACTTGATGATTTAAAAGAACAATCACTATAAAGAAATATCATCAAATGTGCAAAATGTTCATTTTTAAAACAAAACAAAAAACAAAAACAAAACACAAGTATAAGGCAGTCAAAGTTTAAGGCATTAACCCCCCCCCCCCCTTTCAGGTCAAAACTATCAATATAGTCCAGCTCACCTGAAGTTCTGTACAGTCTGACTAGTATCTAAATTGTCGTCTGCTTAATTCCTTTAAGATCCTGTAACTCATTCTTTTCATGGTTTAAAATCATAAATACAATGCTCAAATGAAGATATCAATATCGTAAGTTCCAAAAAGCATTATTTGTAAAGATATTACCGAATTAACATTTCATGTAAATAAAGGGAGGTAATTAGAAAAAATATTTTCTATAAAATCAAAGCCAAATTTTTCAATAAGAAATGAATGCATACATTTTAATAATTACATATTATGCATATAATCATTTGCAGTACTTATTTAACATATTATTGGATGTTTTAAAATTGTTTTAAAAGAATAATTATATGCATTTATATACAAATTCAATTAAGTGTTGTTAAATCCTTTATTACAACATACAGGGCTTTTACTAAAGAAAGATCTAAATTCAAAGGATTCCAAGTTCATACACAAATTCACAAGAATAATTCACAAAGGGTAGGAAGGAGGTATTGACATATGAATAATAATACATCCACAACATACAAGTTTTTAAAATATAGTATATGAAAAGGCCATAACTCCTGTAAAAATGAACACTCTCACGAAATGTCTAGGTCTATTGTAATCTTGTAACAAGTTGCAGAAATATATATACCTGAAACAGACAATTTTCCAATAAGGTTTTATGTCGCACCAACACAGTTTTGGTCATATGGCGACTTTCCAGCTTTACTGTTGGAGGCAGACCTCGAGTGCCACTCTTCGTTATTTCAGTCATAAACCGGCACCCGAGTAGAACCACTGACGTTCCGTAAGCCAGTTGGATAACTGCCTCACATAAAAGAATTCGAAGACGTTTGCGCGGCTCGAACCTACGCCGGGAGACAAATTCAAATTGTACACAATATTTTGATTACTATTTACCCTTTATCATGGAACATAAAATTAAAGAATTAAAGTAAGTTTAAGTTAATACGTATAAGATAGCACTTGATCATGGAGATAGATTTGGTCCAAATATAAAACTCTGACTTCATGTATCAACTAGGCCCATCTCCCTCCATTTTTACCTGAGATCTATAATATACCGATCTTTGATTAAGCACTGTACTAAACGTTTCAATTCCTAGTTTGTCTATATGGCAAGTTCCGTTCATATGATCAGATATCGTCTCTATAACATTAGAATCATTTTTCAGAGCCGTTTTCTTCTTTTTCAACAACCGTCCGCCATTAATTTTAGCTATTCCTTCTTCCGGTTCCACTCCTCCGGTATTACTCGCGTGACGTTTTCTATTCGCTGCTATGATTGGACGAATGTCAATAATTTCGTTTTCGCGACACAGGATTTTATCCGTCTCATCTACATTGTCTTCATTAACATCTCTAGTTTCTGTTCTAGCTTGCTCATCAACTTCCCCTTCCACTTTAGCAAATTCAAACTCAATTTTCTTATCAGCATCTATGGTAGGCGTAGTTCCTTTACATTCACTTGCTTCTTTAACAATGTCAACTTTAATAAAGTCTTTTTGTACCTGTTCACCTTTATCAAATTGTTGTTCTTTGGTACTAACGTTTTCTATGCCCTCGTCGTGACCTCTCTCTGTTTCTGATGAATTCTCTAACGCAGGACCTCCCACTTCCTCTACTTGCATCGTTTCCTGGACTGGTGAAACTGACGCATCTATATCTGCAGGGGGAACAGGTATTTCAGTGATTTCCTTTTCAGGGATGTGAGTTTTATGAGGTAGCGTTGGATCTATAAAGTCTCCCTTTAACCATATATGGCGTGCTCCATTTATATAATGTCGGAAGTGACGTATTACGCGACTACCAATGGAATCATATGACTCTCCCATCACCTGCAATGACCAAAATGTTAAATCATGATGAAGTAAGATTTGGAGATCAACAGTTAAGTAGTTGATTAAGAACATACTAGTATATGAAATAAATCATTTCTTTATACCTCTACTTGCCAACTTTATGAAACAAGAGGGCCATGATGGCCCTGAGGTCGCTCACCTGTATATATGCCTCCCCCCCCCCCTGGCAGGGCCAATTTAAGTCCAAGGGCTTTTATTTGAACAAACTTGGTAGACACTCATAAGAAGATATTTCATGCTAAACATCTAAGCTCTGAGCTCATTGGGTTTTTTCAAAGAAGATTTTTTAAAGTTTTTACTATACACATACATGTATAGTTAAAAACAATGACACCACTAGGGCGATGCCAGTTTTGACCCCAGGGCTTTTATTTGAACAAACTTTGTAAACACTAACTAGAAGTTGTTTCATGCTTAATATGTTAACTCTAGCTATTTCGGTTTTTTCACAGAAGAGTTTTAAGTTTTTGCTATACACATATAAGAAAAATCAATGACCCCCGGGGCGGGGCCAATTTTGACCCCAGGGCTATTATTTTAACAAACTTTGTAGACACTCACTAGAACATGTTTCATGCTTAATATCTAAACTGTAGCTATTTGGGTTTTTTCAAAGAAGATTTTTTAAGTTTTTGCTATATACATATAAGGAAAATCAATGACCCCCTGGGGCGGGGCCAACTTTGACCCCAGGGCTTTTATTTGAACAAACTTGGTAGACACCCATTAGAACATGTTTCATGCTTAATATCTTAGCTCTAGCTCTTTGAGTTCTTTAAAAGAAGATTTTTTAAGTTTTTACTATGTGCATATAGGGAAAATCAATGACCCCCTGGGGCGGGGCTAATTTTGACCCCAGGGCTTTTATTTGAACAAACTTGGTAGACACTCACTAGAAGATGTTTCATGCCAAATATCTAAGCTCTAGCTCTTAGGGTTTTTTTAAAGAAGATATTTAAAGTTTTTTCTTTTGGTTGCCATGGCAACCAGAGTTCTGCATGGAATTAAATTCTTTGAACAACTTTTAAAGGTGACCCCCAAAGGAACATTCCTGTGAATATTGGATGAAATTGGCTTAGTGGTTTATGAGGAGATGTCATTTAAAGTAAAAGTTTACGGACGGACGACGGACGGACGCCGGACGAAAAGCGATCACAAAAGCTCACCCTGTCACTTTGTGACAGGTGAGCTAAAAACAGAAGACAATTGGAAGATATGAAATATTCTTTATGAACATCTGAAAAGAAACAACATTTTAGCATAACGTTCTTTTGATAGTAATTATAAAAGCCTTTTACTCAAACAAATATTTTGTGGCATTTATCATTTTATTCAGTTCTGTTTTTACATGTCTATCTTTACCTCAATTTCGATCAGCTGGTTCCCAATCAGAATGTTTGCTCGGTAAAGATTTTTGACCTTTGAACCATGTACTCCTTTACTGTTTATTGGACCAATCAGCTCCAAGTCCATGGAATCCAGCACTTCCTGTCTCAGAGTTACTACGTCACTTCCGGAATCCACCATGAATTCTGAAACGACAGAAAGTTTGGAATTTTGGTTCAGTATAGACAAGGAGATAGACCCTGCTCGGAAAAATGTAACTGTCGGAGAATTAATAAATTCAAAAAGTGACAAAGCATGTACATGTATAACGGGCGTACAAAATATGCAAGCAGACGACAGGCAGACGAAAGTAGAAACATCGTTCTTGTCATTATTCAAGATTCTTAAGCAAAACCACTGCGATCGCCAAAGACATTTTTCGACTAGAATAATGTCAAAATCGCAAAATAAAAATAAGTTATTAGTCTGAAGTATCTAACAGCGAAAAATGTTTGTGTTTCCGAATTCATTATATGATAAACTGCTATGTTTAATTTTAAATGTAGCATGTTTATTGTTTAAAAAGTATAAAGTGTCTCTACAATGCACAATTGACTAGAATTCGGGGTAAAGCGTAAGACAATATTTCGTTGAAATTGATACCTCATGAAAAACGAATGTGGCATGAATAACGATTAAATATGTTAGTATATCTTAAAAAGGGAAGTAAAAATAAGGTACACGAAATATTTATAAGTCGTTTGCAGAAATCAACTCTTTTTTATATGGATAACCTTACGAAGTCAGTATCCATTTCGATATTGTAATTTCATACGGTAAATGTGTGTTAATAACGAAGGTTATAGAAAAGAAGTGGCTTCTTAAACAATTACATGTACCAGCTTTATAACTTTTACTTGGTATCAGATGGATTATGGATATTGTTTTTAAAGAAGTGAATATTTAGAAAATCGAGTACGTTAATACACCAGTTATACATGAGAAATCCAGAAAGACATGACAGAGAAAAGATATATTGATGTTCAAGAGAGTAGTAAAGACATGGCGGAGGGATATTCATCAACAACTAGTAATGGTAGTATCCTTACATTATTAATTAAAGGGACTCTACAAAGGGTTTTTTTTGGCATGGCTGAATTGGATATAATTTTTCGAGATTATTACTTAATTTGATGTAAGTCTATAGTATACCAACAACTTATGTGCACTGACTCTTATCGGTTTTTTTTCAGAATAATTAAAGGGACTCCACTGAGGTTTTTTGACATGACGGGACTGGAAAAAAAATGTTGTTATTAGTTTGAACCATATTTTCTGCAAAAATACTTTTTACGAATCTAATGTGTACTTATTTTTTCCATTTTTTTTCTACTGTTATCTGATTTAATTCAGTCATGTGATGAAACGATGACATCATTTTGCCTCCAAGCTAACCTACCGGGGTGGGGGATGTCACAATCCGGAGACCTTTAAAAAATTGACAATTTCAGCCCCTTCAGACTCCGGTACCCTATCGTAAACCTAATAGGAGTGTAATGTGACACAGGCTTTAGTTTGACACATTGATGATTGTTCATAACCATTTCCGTATTAAATTATTACGCCTAAACAGCCAACAGAGAGTGTAAGTTAATTGTTTCTTACATTTAACAGTTCTTATATTTAACCGTTCTTATATTTAACAGAACAACAGATGTACCAAGAAACTCAAGAAGCCATCGACGACTGTTACCAGTCTGAAGCGGAAGTCTTTGATTCAATTTCGGAAGAAAACAAACCGCTTCTTCCAAAAGGTTACGGGAGTCAGGATATTGATTCAATTTCGGAAGGAAACACACCGCTTCTTCCGCTTGGTACCGGAAGTCAGAATATTGAATCAATTTCGGAAGAAAACATATCGTTACTTCCGATGGGTGCCGGAAGTCAGGATATTGATTCAATTTCGGGAGAGAACATACCGCTTCTTCCAATGGGTGCCGGAAGTCAGGATATGACACAATTCCAAGATAATTTAAATGAATGTTCCAATAAAAACTGGCCTTTGCAAGAACGAAACTCAAACACACATGCTTCAGACTTAAATGATAATTCTTTGGTGATGATGTTACTGACGTTAATGATCTAGGGAAACCTGATTTGCTAAGAGGAGAAATGTTTCCTAAATTTTCAAACGTTAAAAAGATCAAAACGAGATACGGTAAAGTTAAAATCCACTACACAGATTCACTTGACGCTGACGAAGAAGAGAGGATCGTTAACGAATCTGTTAAAGTATTAAAACGTTTAAAAGATAAAGCTATCGAAGCCAAGAAGATGCAGAAAGAAAATAAATTACAAAGGCAAACAATGGGTCGAGAATTGGTAATTGCTTCAGATTCATGTCATGTGTTGACCGCGCAGATGAATGAATCGTGTTCTTGAATAACTCACAAACGTCCATTTACATTCGAAATGACGAATTGTTTTATAAAAAAAATGGTATCTTCTTGTATTTTTATAAGTTTTATTAATATACTATTAATTCAATTCGTTATACTGAAACGCTGGTGTTTTATTGCTGGTATTTTATCACAGTACTCGTAATTCATTTCAGCCCATATTTTATCTTTACTGGTAGAGGAAGACACAAGATGCCTATCCGTTCATTATATTAGTCGTACGCAGGTCTCTTCGAAACTTCGTTGTTACTGAATGTTCAAGATCAAGCGTCATGGATAAATCCCCCTGGTCCCAGGATTGAACCAGCGCCAGCTACCCCTAGATTACAATCCAATACTCTCCTTACTGAACTAAGATAGAGGACTAGTTCCATTAAATCCTCGCTTGAACTAATGAAACTAACTGCCGGGATTCCAACTCGCAGCGGCAAGAGATCAAGCGATTCTTAGCCAGGAGTCTTAATCACTGAGTCAAGGACGCCGAAATTTATTTTAAAGCTGCATGCCTCCAGATTAGCCAAAATAATTCAAGAAAATCAATCATGAGAAAAACGTACTATGTTTTTAAGAAAAGTGAATAGAATCAAGATTCAAGTAATAAGTTACATGTTATGTGTGATTAATGACTTATTTTGAAGTATTTTTCGCCATATTTCTACTGTGTGACTAATGCAGTAAGGGATATTTTTGTTGACCTTATTGGGTAGTTAATGTGCATTGTAAGTGTCGTTTGCAATGTGTAAATTACTTTCTTTGTTCACTTCACAATATTTTACTTTTAACCTACTTTTTTCAAAATTTCCATGAAAATTACCATGAATCTTGGGGCCATGCTGCTTTAAAAACCAAAAAACTTAGTACACAAATAAGTTTCAACGATCATTACCTATATGTACCCTATCTCGAGGATCATTTGTTGACACCACAGTTGCATCCAGTATTAAGAAATCGTACTTTGCATCAACAAGACAGCGGGGCTTTCCCCATCTTCCATAAGCAACCGGAAGTTCGTTTTCTAATGACGTAATTGGCGCACTTTGCTCAGAGTCTGACCTACTGACATCCGGTTTGTATCTAATGAATGATGGTAAAGATGTTTTATGTTTCTTTGCCAAGCTTCGAACTGAAATGAACAAATTCTAGCAATAAATCATAGAAAAGTTATATAAAACAAAAAGAATTCGGTGAAAATTTTTTTAATAATTTTGAAATGTAATACCATCAATTGTAAAAACCAGGGTCTTTCAAATTCTATTTGAAAGACCCTGTAAAAACTGAGACGCACCTCAGCACAGTTGAAAAAGTGATAATGTTTTTCTAAATTTCGTGAAAGGGAACGTATCTCTAAAGATTGGATAATTCAATAGCACCAAAGATATACTTTTATACGTTTCCTGAAAACTACTATCTCGTCATGTCCACTACTTTTCTTACTTATCAAATAAGAATGACAGAGATCTGAGTCTGACGTTATCGAATTTCATTTCCGGTAAGTTGTTGTTGTTTTAAACATACCTGCTCTTTCAAGCCGCCGTTTATGTCCTGGAAGAGTTATCTCCAGTTCATCGTAGAGTTGCTCATCCGGGAGGTTCAGTCTGGCAATATCTACGAGGTCAATAAGTTCACTTTGTATGAAACTGACGAAATAGTGGTCCAACCCCTTCCCTCGCAACCAGTCATACAGAATGTATTCTCTACTGGGCTTGTAATGTGGTGCTGCAAAAAAGCAAACAGAATACTCATTCAGACAGTTGTCCCTATGGTCCGATGTTAAACAGTACAAGTACAATGTACATAATATTATCATGCATGTGCTTCCGAATATTTGCTTTGGTTAAATTCACATCGATACTTTGTATGTATACAGGTTAGTGGTGGAAGACTAACAGTTCTTAATTTCATCACCGATAGTGCCTAAGCAAAACTAACCATGTTCTGCAAGCCAGATGAAATAGCCGAGGGAATCCCATGGCCATAAGAACATGAAACCTTACGGTTAGGTGCAAAAGAAAATCATGCCCTGCCACCTAAATTAGTCTGCCACAGTTTACCCGGCCTTTAAGACTGTAAAATCGTACTAGTATATCAAGTGGATTCTAGCCATGAAATTGTAATGTTGTCACGACCTTCGTTGAAACTTCTTACCGGGCAAAAATAAAACCAATATATTGTTCAATAAAGGATATATCAAAAAATTGTATTTGATGAATTGGCTTTCTTTTTCTTCTATGGATGCTAATTCAACTCATGACAGCCTATGAGGCCTTACCGAAAGTATCATACCATTTCATCTACCTTGTGAAGTGTTAAATTATTCAAGTACTGAAAACGACTAACGGTGCACTTAACACCCTCGAGTATTTACACTTCGTATAATTGCCAATATTTCTATTTTAATTGCCAACAGAACTGCATGACAGTTGCTCAATGAAGTACCGTTCAGTGCGTGTACCTGGCAATTCCGTTTGTAACGACAAACGATCTGTGTCAATAGAGGCTTGACAACCTATTAATAATTGATCATTTGTATTGATTGCTAATTTTACAGAGCAAATTTACAAAACTGATCAATTTTATCCTTTCAAGAGCGTATAAACAATTAATGGGAAATCAGATAAAAATGTTACGGCTGTCATTTTGTTATGGATGACACGGTTAAAGAGAAGTTCACAGGAACTATACAACTCTTTGGCTGGTTAAGTATTTGGCTGGTTGGAAAAATGCACGTGTAAACCAGGCCAGCGTGTATATCCGTGCAGTCCAACATGACTGCACAATTTAGTACTCTTAAGTTTTCAAATAAGATAGCTATACACTCTCAAGCGGAAAAGTTCAAAAATCAATTTCAGACAATTACATTATACAAATCAACCAGGGTAAGGGTTTTAAAAAAGGTTGGAAAGTATGAAAATTTATATAAAAAAATACTCTACCCTTTTTCAGTCAAAACTCAATACAATGTAGTGTTATTGTTGTATGAATGTTTCTATTATATATCAATATTTATTAAAATGAACATTACATGTAATATAAGTATGCTTAAACTACACAAAACACTGTCATATCGAACTGAGACGGCTCACACACTACGAATCGCTTATTTTTGGATTCCGCGCCTATTTCCGATGGCCAAAAAAAAAAATACCGGTAGGTCAATATTCTGCCTCTTTTTTCAAACATTTTGTACCAGTTCATAGGGGCCATCTGTAAGTTTCCCCAAACTTAAATTATTTCACCAGAATCGCGATTGAGTAAAATTATCTTAACAGAATCAACATACGAACACTGCAGCTAACGATGGATGTCATGTGACTTGGTTTATATAAAACAATCGACTTTTTCGGGATACCAGATTTTAACGCCGGAAGTTCGCCTACTGCTTTTTGAAAGAATCCTATCAAAAGCTACCACACCATTCGTGCAAATCAATGACATATTCAACAATAATTGGTGAATATATTGATTTCAGTTCAGCAATCAATAGTAATAAAGATTCCATGTAACTTTAGATACAATTATTAATTGATATCGTATAAAAAGTATCGACAAATCGACAGCCGTTTCAATACGTATATCCGCTTTAACATTGTAAATGAGTGTTTAAAGCTTTTTCAATTTGACAAGCTGATCGATGTGAAATTCTCCGGCAAACAATTCCATATGGCTTCTTCTTTCCTGGTTCTAACAGAGCCGTTGATTTGCTATCTACGGACTTTCTAATATATCGATATTTTCATAGATAATTTGTCAAACTTAAGCGGATTCCGAGCCAGGTATAGATTGGATATTAGAGATTTTAGATAGCAAAGTTTCTTCGGCAAAAAAAAAAAAAGATATTCCACCGCCATTTGTCCTAATAAGAGAATCATAGCTAACCAAATCTTAATTTTGAGTGCCTTTTTATATACATATACAATTTTATTTCAATTCGGAACACCTCTCTGTCTAAATTAAATCCTTATTTTGAAAATCTTTGTCTTAACCATTCTTAATTTTGAGTATATACCCTTTCATTACGCAATCATAATTTTCAACACCATAATTTGGTCTAAAGTAAACTTAATTCTGAACATATGTGTCTGTTGAAATAGAGAAATTGACCTTGAGCGAATTAAACTTCTTTAACCTTGGGCATGTTTTACATAATAATACGAAGACAACAAAACTTTGAAGCAGTAAAATACAATGGTAAGTAGGCACTGAAAGAAGCCAACAGGGAAATATAATTATCAGAGCTAAAAGCTTTAAACCCTAAAATATTTTGTATAAGTTTTTAATGAGAAACAAAGTAAACTGAACAAAAAGAGTATTAATAAATAGACTGTTTCTTTATTAAAGTTCAGTACTGAACAGTATTCCTTCAACATTATGCCACTGTCAACTTTTCTTCATCAAACGGAAAAGTTAATCGATTTTCACCTGTTTTGCCTATCTTGAAAACAAGTGTACCAAAGACCTGTTAATTACTAATCGATGATACTGATTGATCTTATCCTATTTTCTCTCACTAGTACCTTGAAAACGTAGATTTCTTTCTCCCATTTCTCTAGTAAATCAATCTTTGAAAACTGCAAGCTCTAGCAGTTAAGCTAAATTAGCCAATCTAGGGAAACTGTCGGCCGCGACACTTTTTTTTCAATGATTTCTTTAACGAGAAGAAAAATGAAAGCCTTCAGCACGGAAAACATTACAATTAAAAAATCGACAATATTTCATCTTGAATATGTGTCAACAAAGGCGCGTTCGTTCAGAGGATTGGAAGATACATAATAAACGTTTACATGTACATAATTCAATCTTAACAATGTTTCATCTTGAATATGTGTCCGTGAAGACCGGTTCATTCGGAGGATTTGGAGAATAATAAACATGCATATAATTCAATGTTAACAAAATTATGTCTAAAATACATGTCTGTCGCGCATTACAGTCAATAGGTGTCATTTATGTTTGGCTGATACCGGGCTATATTTAAAATAAAATCAGCTTCCTAAAGTAACATATAAAGCTTCTTTCGGCAAAAAGGAGAAAAATGAAGCGTTAATGAAACATTAGCGATTTTGTTTCAGAAGCAACGCATTCAATCAACAGATTGCAAAATACCTGTATACATGAAATATGCCATGTTGATGAAAATACTGTTGATTTACCACTAACAATGACCAACTACCTGTATATAAAGACCATTTGCCAATGATAATATTCAAATTCCTAGACATTGTTCTAAATGAAATCTAGTCCTAGTTAAATTTAAGTAAATAAAAAACTTTTATTATTATTACAGCATTCATCTATACATTATGTAACCGTTAATTGTTTGGAAGTGATAAACTATTTTACGTTAATGCTTTAACTGATGAATTCTGCTTCATCCTGTATGTTTCTTCCTCATTTCTGATGTAAGAATTAGCAGGAGTTAACTCATTGTCGGTTAGAATCTACCTATCACGGCAAAATGTAGTATGTACGGAATAAATACCGTGGGTAACCAAAGATGGATCCAATAAACTAAGAAGAAAAAACCCAGAAGCACTGAATGAGATCTAGTCCAATTCAATAATTAAGAGGGTCATGTACTCTTAAGTTGATGACTGTACAGTACTGTACTGTACCTGGGACAAAAATACTTTATTAAATAAAATATATTTTAGGCAAGAACAACTAAACTAGTTTACTGTACTGTATACAGTATACGTATCGTTACAAAAAAACCAACAAATATGCAGAGACATCTTTAACAACTGGGTAGCGAATACAAATTAATGGCTCGATCTCTGTTGAATAAGAATTATCATACAGGACTGAGGAGGACTTCATGTAAAGATGGAACCGTATACAAATGCATGTCCTTAATTAACTTTAGGTGTATTTATACAATGTCCGGTCACGCCTCACGTTGTGTCTTTCAAACGTTAGATTCAAAGCAATCGAAATTAGTGAACTCGAGAAATTAAGAGTGTCTGATCAAATATTTAGCCTTTTATGTCGATTTCAATGCCATTTCAAAAGTTAAAAAACTTACCGGCCTGAAGTATTTTTTGCCTGGCCTTGTGATCAGTGATGTACATCGAGTCAAGATCTTCCTCTTTTAAGTAAGGAAGATCGTCCTCTGAATCAAATCCTTTCGCCATAAACATTTCCACGTGTTCAGCTAAGTCAAGTCGGGAGAGGAAACCCTGTACTCCCTCCATCATTTGCCTCTTTCATTTGTCAATATAAAATGTGATCTCGCAGCCTTGTCAACTTCAAAAAGAGAGAATCCATCAGCTCATCCATTGGTTACTCAGGTATCGGTTAACCAATGAATCTATACCTGAATGTCACAGTTTGTTTTCTAATCAATGGGGATTTTCCTATAATCTATTTTTAAATCAAGACTGGTTAACATCAGCTAAACAACTGCAAAGATGTTCGAATGAACGGAAATGATCGAGGTTTTACAAGCATACCAAATAAAATGCTACACTGACCTATGTGTTTTTGTGAAAATTGAATTTTAAGGGGAAGAGTTGCGACGGTGAAATTCCTTTAGGTCCGTACTATTAATCGTTTTATACAGTGATAGGACGGGTACGCTTTTTAAAAGTCAATGTCGTTTTTTTCTTCTATTTTTAATGCACGATAATAGGACAAAAAAGGTTTGCATGTTGAATTTTCTAATGGGTTCACGAGATTCTGTGAGGTATTTAGAGCATTCTAAAGTTGTTAGTGAATTTCTATTATACTTATTGCATGGTATAATCATACAACTGAATGATATAAAAAAAAAACCTGGATTTGGCATTGTATTGCATTTGCCGAATCTGTAAATTAAAATGTTTTGCAGCAACGCAAGATAATTAAAACTTGGCCGAAATGTTAAGCAGATGTATGTACTTGGTTTTTGAATGATTTTCAAAATAAATCGAGTTATTCTGCAGTGAATCGCATCTAATCAAAATCATGTGACTCAGCTGCTTTGCATTCGAACAATAATTATTTTTGACAGGATGCATATTATTATATATCAAATCAGTTTGAAGATCATCATAACAATAAAACAATATACATGTAAATTGTACATACTTGCTAAAATTGATAGAACTATTACCTTTAACATTCAGGCGTTCATATTTGTATATTGATACAGGTAAATCCTTTTTAAATTACAAAAAAAAAAACAAATCTTGTTTTGAATTAAGAGACTTTCCGTAAGTTCTACAGAATGAACTATTTAAAAAGCGAGCGCTTTTTCTGGCTTTGGTCAACAATACAAAATAATTCCAAATTTTCACTCCGTTTTAAATACAGTGACCCAGGTATATATGTTACAATATACATGTACTTGAGTGAGCCAATATCTCCCTGAAATGAAACGGAATTATTTTTATAAAAATGTAATAAATTTTCTAAATTTAAATGTTCAGGACAAAATAATAATTATCATATATAAACAGTTAAAACAATTTTCATTCAGATTATAATCATTACTATTTCTTCAATACATAACTTTTCTAATCACAACAGAAAAAAGGAACTTCTGAAAACCAAGCTGCGTTTTGCACCTACATTGCATTTACTTCTGTTGATTTTTCTAATTAATAATTTACACATTCAAAAATACATAAAGCCTATTATCTTAAAACATTGCAGCCGCAAGATTATCGCATGTGCATTGTGTTTAGATGTAAAGATAAATATGTTGTCCTGGTCTTAAACATAAATATGGTTCTGGATAACTAATTCATTAAGAAGACTGTGTTTGGCCTTACTTGTATCACCTTTAAAAGTCCATTAATAAAATTCAATGAAGTGGCTGAATCTAACAAAATTTAAGAATTCCATTCATTGATGTGTGTTTCATTGCTCTCATGGTATCTCCCTTGACTCGTTTTATTACATTGTACATTATCACAATTTCTTTCATTGAAATATAAGAAGATTAACAAAACAAAACAAATCTTGATGGGAGTATATCATGACGGTTGGACTCAATAAATGTTTGTTTGAATGGACTTTGCTTGTCTAAAAAAGCAGAAGCCTCGATTTGGCCATAGATTTACATGTAGATATTCTCCTGCACATCGGTCGAATGTTTCGAACACAATCGTTCACTCTCGTAACGTAGAGTAACGGAGTGTATTCACTGAGCTGCTAAAGAAGCATAAGATTTAGCTGGAATTTGGGTGTTATTAATTTCTGACCCTATCTAAATCCACAAAGACGGAATAGAGGTTAAAGATACTTATGAATACAATAAATGACTTTTGCACAAACAATCACGATGTTTAAAGTCATGATAGTGATAAATAATTGCCTCCCTTTGTAAAAACCATAACTTATTATATAATGATAAAATAGGGTCAAATTGTTCCAGCTGAAGAAACTAGTAAAGTCATGTTGACAAAACAGGCAAAATATGTTCTAAACGGAGTAATAGTATAAAGTGTCCATTGTTTTCAGTGCATAATTTAATTAGTCATGTTACAACTTATATTTATTTGTTTGTCAAATAATTCATCTGAAATTATTGTATCGTTATCTGTTAAGACTTATGATATTATTCTTATGTTTACAATTCATCATGCGAAGTACGACAGTCAATGACCTTAGGCTCACGTGATATTTTATCAGCTTCCTTGTTCCTTGACTTTTGTTTCAAATATGTTTGTGTAGTTAACACAATTTAGAGCCAATCAAACCATTGCTTAGAATAACCTTTCATTCTTTAAGGAGGACGTAGAAAAGTAATTGGAGTACATATAATATGCAAATCATTTTTGAATTTTTATTTATTTTATTGCTCGTTAATATATTTTTTTTCAGAAAGAAAGAAAGAAAACGCATTTCAGCAATTAAAACGGAATAGTAAAAATTAGTTTTAAGTATGAAGATATTGTCAATTTTATTTGAACAATCACTCGTTAATTAAAGTAATAACAACTGATTGAAATTGAAATTGAAATTGACCAAATAAAAGGATTTTTGTTTGTTGTTGTTAAAAACAGTTACAAAGACTTCTACTGTATAATTAACTTGCTTATAATCAAACGTAAGTGTTAGATGCTTTATAATTTGACAGGTGTCGTAAAGGTATTATAATAAGAAATCATCGTTTTTTTTTTTTTTTTTTTTTTTTTTTCAAATTTAATCTATATCTTTTATCAATGTTGTATGTACACAAAACGTGTCATGCAAAAAAAAATAACTGGTTAACACTTTTCTTTAGAAATTGCTCCTTTGGAATCATTTTACTTCGAGGACCAGACAAAAAGAAACAACATGGCTACCAAAGACGCCAAAGTGGCACTTATTACCGGGATTACCGGCCAGGTAAAGTATTCTATACATGTTTGATTGAAAAAAATGTTAATGTCATAATATTCTTTTAATTTCAAATATATGACATGTAATTCAGTGTCATTGTAGTTTGACTTTAATTTCTGTCTAACATGACCATTTGCCGGATATCCGTGTTCTGTCTAAATTATACATTAAGCAAGTCTGATTAACATAAATTGTCACGATTTATCTGTTGTTACTGTGAATCAGTGTGACTTAATTTTAATCAACGATTGGCATTTCATGACATTTCCGAATGATCATTAGAATAAAAGTGAAAAATGAACTAGTGAAATGCTTGTAAAGTTATGTCACTTTTATCGAGTGCTCAGGATCTCGACAGTCCACATGTGTAAAAACGCAATTACATACAATGGTCAGTCACAGGGACAAATCATGTGTCCGGAGAGACGCTTGATTTAATCCAGATAAAAGATGGGTTGTTTAAATTTTTTATTTTTAACATAACATTATTTCAGCAGGCTGCAAAATGTTGAAGTTTTGATATTCTATTGTTTACTATAATATGAAATTAGACAAAGCCTATGAACGGCAAAGTCAGTGAAAAAATTGTTCATTTTTCCATTTTAAAGGTGTCATTCGGTATTTTATGCACTGCTTCTGTTTTCACTCGGAAGTCGGAATACTTGACAAATGTTATTTATAAATGTGAAAATGTGCGGTTGTTTGTCATAGGATACCCTGCCTATATTCATTGAGTAATATTGAAAATGGCGTCGCCCGACTGGAACTAACACTGATAATTTCATTGATAGGTATAGAATTCTATATATTCTTAAATTATTTTTTATTTGATTTTCTATGAAATAATTCATGTGTAGTCTATAGCTGGGCAAGCCAAATTCCAGGACCACAAAGGGGTCCTGACCTTTTGACTTCCCCATATAAATGATTATAGCTAGTATAAGAGGTCAGGTGTTGCACTCTTGTCCATGTAATTAACTATTAACTAATTATTTTTTACATGAGAGTGAAATATACAGAAAATACTCTGATCAATGGTTTTGTCTCTCCATATAACATGAAATAGTGAAATATACAGAAAATACTCTGATCAATGGTTTTGTCTCTCCATATAACATGAAACTATTCACCACTTCCTAGAAATATAAAGAAAAATTTTCACACAGTGTTTGAATTTTGAGAAATTTAATCCATTTGGATTTAAATTCAGTGAATTAAAGGTTTGATAGAATTATTAAAATAAATAAATATATGTTAAATGAGATTAAAAAAACAACACACTGGTGTATTGAGACTAGTCACTACTTTCAGGGATTTTTTTTTGGCTTATTTTATAGCCGTTATTGGTTCATATTCCCAATTAAAAATAGTATATTTTTTTCCAAATCCACAGGAAAAAATTCCCAATTGAAAGTTACAAAATAAAAGTATTGAATAAAAATTCTAAAATCTTTGCAAATAAGGGCTTCTTCACTGTAATAGTGCTTAAATGTTTGAAGATGCCATCATAGACAGTAATTGTTTGCATCCATTTAATAACTGCAAAATTTCAGCCAATGTTTAACAAAACTTAACACCGCTGAAATTCCCAATTCCATGGGTATGGGTCATGTTCCCAAAATGCTGGGAAAAATCCCTGACTTCATGCAGGACTAAAATGGAGCGCATTAAATATACTACTAGTAAACAAGTTGTCTGTTAAAAGGTCACATCCTTGGAAATGGCTTGTCTTTTTTTCTTAAAGTTAAGAGATACACTTATTATAGATTATTTCTGCATATCAATTTATCATTTTATTTGTTTAAAACTTGTACAAGGACTACTGCACAGCGACTATAGCCTGCCAGAGTCATTTTTTGAAATTATCAACTTCTCAAAAGACACACTAGTATCCATTTTGAAGATGTTTCCCCCAAAATCCAGTCTAGTTACTAGTAGTTAGTAGTATTGTTTGTACTTTATATTGGCATTATTTTATAGAAAAAAAAGAGTAAAAACTTGGCTCATTTCAACACACTGTAGTGTATG